TGCATATGTTACACAAAGAGTGAGTTGATCAGGCCCACACAATGTAGTCACGTATGCATCATCATAGTAAAACCCAAAAGAAACTCACCAGACAGAACACACAGCAAAGCATCCTAAGTTATTGCAATACATACAGGCTTTTTTTTCCCTAGAAAGTGCTTTGATACCATAAAATGTATCCTCTCATGTGCACCCGGCGTATTAAACATACATATGGTAATGGCGCAGTTGAATAAATGCAGAAGCTAACTTTTTCTTTCCAATTATGACCTCATCATTATTAACCAAGTTGATTACTTATTCCTTTTTCAAAATATAGCCTGTATGTAAATTGCAAAAAAGAACTAACTGAATAACCTCATGATATAAATGTGTATCTAGTCACGGAACTACAACACGTAGACCGAACAATATCCTGATACTTTATACAACTCAAGACTAAATAGGCATAACAAAATCAATGTGGCATGGACAACCACCATGCTCACCAAATCAGGCAACATAGCCAAACAATGTCTCAAATCAAATAATAATCTACTGAAAGTAAAACATAGTCAACATCCAGGCATATAAGTAAAAATAAAATGCATAGTCAACTCAACTCCGGCCTCCTGTCGCTAGAGGTGTCTACCCTAGAGATACCTATACCTGAAAATGTGGCCCAACATGGGGTAAGATCTCTAAAAAGAAATCTCAGTAAGACAAGGGATCCTTAAGGATCTCTCCACCCCAAGCTCACTTACATGTGCAATATAAGTTTCAAAACAGTATAATATTATCATTTCCAAAATCTGTGCAATGCAGCATATATCCATGTCATGCGTGTGTATGCATCCTACTGGCCAGAGAATAAAAATGTAGGGATTACATACGACTACAACCTACAGTACAAGGAACACAACTTGTACCTCACCCACGGGTTCATCATCTTGTATGTCTCCACATACTTAGGGTTACCGTCTAGGTGATACACCACATACATATTATATGGCACTTGTACTTAATTAAATAGCTCAATAACATTTCAGTAATCATCACATAATTTCATAAACACATCATGCATATAAACCATCCCTCCATGAGGTATGGTGGAACCAATAATAGGCAAAACCGAGGACATGAAAGCTTACATCGCAAGCTATCAAACAAATCTCAAGAGTCCACACCAGTCCAAGGTCCACAAACAGCACGCTCACGGTCTGTTTGTAACAGAAACATCATCAACATTCATCATCTAGAATTTTATTACATAACGACAACATTTCCTCTTTCGTTTCATGCCATTAGGCTTCTCTCGAAGCCATAAGCCCTTAATCTAAGTGATTCTGACTTAGTTAACTTATTACAGAGGTTCAACTTAATCAATCATAATCATGGGTCCAAAAACCCAATCTACACTTCTGTTTTGATAAAACAGTGCACAACATCAAAATTCTCAGAATATCCGGATATTTCACGGTGCCATATCCGGATATCCTTATCCGGATATCACCAACCCCATATCCGAATATCTATATTCGGATATCACCAACCCCATATCCGGATATCCATATCCGGATATCATATCCAGATATTTCACGACAGATCCTTTCAAGGTTCCATTTTTAACACATACACGTCCAAGAATTCATTTTTAGACATATTTAGACCAGTGTTCATACTAATTACTTAATCATCTCATTACACATGCCAAGACTTAGCCTTTAACAAGGAAAAGTCATGAGTAAAGGTTGGGAATGTATACCAAGCTTCCAAAACAGAGACAAAAGGTGCTCTTGGAGCTCTCTACTCAGCCCCAAGGTTCTGTCACTAGAAGGCCACAAAATGCACCCACAAGGTTGGCCCTTTCTCTCCAAAAGTAGCTTTTGGATCAACACAACAAAGAAAATGGCTCCCACTCTACCAAAACAGTGAAGTCAGCCCACCAATCTCACAACACAGAGACCACAACTCAGAAATGTGCAGCAACACTCTATCACAAGGCTAGCTCTCACTCATCAATGGTATTTTGGTGAAGAAAATGTGAGGAAAGGTGATCACTTGGGCTCCTTTGTGAAGGAGGATGAAGGTGGCTGCCCAAGGCTTCAGAAACTTCACGTAGAGAAATGAAGAAACTGACCTAGAAGTTTGTGCCATGTCTATTTATATGCGCATTAAATTTAATCTCACTGTATTAGCACTAATAGATCTGCTAATCGTTTTAACTTAGAACTTCAGATTCTGAATCTAGCCATTTTTCTAGGATTTGTCATATTTTTATTATAATTTTCGCAGCACTTTGCCGGTACGCGCTTTTACGTTGCCGGTATCAGTCCTAACGTCAGTTCTCATTATTTTGACTCCAAACTTGGTATACCAGTCGTAAATATTATTTTAGGAATATTCTTACACTTATTATAATTTTTTTGATACTTCATCGGTACACACTTATACCGTGAAGCAGAACTGGTATCTGCACTTTTCGTTAGAAAAATGACTTTCAACGTTATTAAGCCCTTATATTAATTATTTAAGCCCTCCCATAATTATTCAAGGTCAATTATGGAATGTATCTCTTAACTCATAATTAAATTAATTAAATTCTTAATTTAACGGTGCAGGTTCTTACAGAACTCATTCAGATACCATTAGCTCGGCAAGACATGACACTAGCTAGGGTTAGTCTAGCTCGGCTAGCCCCTCTAAGAGCCCGTAACTTGGTGCACTAGCTAACCTCCATCAACTTGAACCAATAACCTTTTCCAAGCTCGTATGATGCAATGCGACCCAAAGCCACAATGCCCTTATTATCAAGAAGGGCCTTAATCATAAGCAGCATTGTAGCCCAACAGACCGAACTCTCAAACCATCGAGTTGGGGGCCAACTATTTTGGACCAATATAATGGGCCCTTTCCAACCAAACAAAATGGGCCCAGTCCATTAGTAGGTAAAAACCCCAGTATTAGTACAAGGTTAAGCCTCACAGGTATGAGCTTTTGAAGTCTAATCCTATTTTGCTGTTATTGTGCAGACACCTCACTTCCTTTGGCTTCCTACCTTCTCTTGGTGTACAATGATCTGTCTGTCTCCTAAATACCGTTGAACCACAAATCCTTCAATAACCTTATTCTCCGATCAAATAAAAGTACTGTCAACCTTATCTTTTAGTGGTCCCTTTATGTGTAGTAATGTATATATAATTATATTGAATCTAGACAAAGGTGTATTTCATATACGAACTTATTTTTTAAAATAAAAAAACAAAATGAAGATTTTTTCTCTTGAAAAGGAAAGGCTATTTGCAAGGAATATCATTTAATGCTAAGGGGAGACTATCCACTCAACTATCATTCAAACTTAAATGGGTCCCAATTACCATTGCCGACATTAATTATTTCTTTTGTTCCCCACACATCAATCTTTTTCTAATAAATTTACTTTCGTCATTGTTAGTTACTTAGAATGATAGATACTATATAAAAAAGTTGAAATATTTAACGTAACAAATTTCCAAATTATTTAATGTTATTTAAATAATTATGAACATTATTAAAAGACTCTTTATGGGAATATAAAATTATTTAAACTTTTGATATTTTTTTCCTTAACATATATAGCTTCAATATCAACCACATATTCAGATCTTTTCACCTGTATGTCTAACAAAAAATAATGACGAATTAACTTCAAGAGCAGCTAACAGTATTGTTTCGGACTGGACCCTATTTAGCACTAAAAAGCAGATCGAGATTCAATAATTATGATTAGCTTTTGTCTTCTAGTAATCATTAAAGTGAAGAGCATTTTAATGATAATGGTTCTAAAATAATGGATGTGATAGAGAATTGGAGAAGTATTCTCTCTAGATTGGAGAATGCATATGGGTTGATCTTAATTTTGCAAACATTGGTGGGCTACCATAAAAAATACGGAGAAGTGCGAGCAAGCTAAGAAAAACTCGAGCATGTAGCAAGCAGTTGGAGTCATGATGATCTTTGTATTTCATAAACGAACATCACATAAAATAAAGCTACTTCACAAAACATTACAAAAAATAGGTATCCTAGTTCATGAGGGGATATCTAACAGAAAAATATTTCAATACTAGTGAGAACAATTGAAGATCACAAAAGAAAATTTGATTTTATAAGATACTGAGACATCCAGCTTTCCTATTATTATATAAGTTTCCCTTGTGTTAAAAGTAATAATAAAACTAAATCTATCACCCACCATTATCTAATTAATACCATCGATATCTAATGACAATTTTGTTCAAATTCTACGCAAAGGTCTAACGCCATGCGAACACGTATTATCATTTTGCAATCCTTAAGATAACTATCCTTGAGCAGCGACAACGATAGCATCATCCGTCGCTACTCGCTATGTTAGATATATTAATTTTTGAAAATTATTGAATAAAAAATTTTTGGTATGGAAATTCACCGCAAATTCTGTCATAGTTGAGATGATAAAAATCATGTCATCAATTTCAGTCGCAATTTCATTTTTTTTTTTGGTCTTGTAGGGTACCCCTTAAATTTAATATTATGGTCCATTTGTGAATATTTAAGAACACATAATGGTTTATAATTAATTTAATCTTTTGATGAAAATATCTGCAAAGCATGATTTTAAATCACTTAATCATCATTTCTACTGGGCCACTTGTTAAACAAGGACAAGAAACTTTCCCATACTGGGCCAACCCCATTGCAGGCAAATCCTAATGGATACCCTGATGGAGATTTTTGACTTTTTTTTATCCTTAATTTATTGGGTGACAGAATTTAAATAGCAATTAGCAAATTTTGATTTGTATTATTAAAAATACTATTGATCCAGAGTTAACAATTAAATGAATATGAAAAATCATAAGGCTATATTGGGACCCAGAATTCTCAATCTAAAAAAAATCATTTATGGCCTACCAAGAAAGATGGACTTTAATCAACCATTCAACCAATAACACATGGTTAGCATGATCTTCAATTTATAAATAGGTTACCAGACACTTCCAACTCTCCCATCCCACCATATACACTTTCTTCTTTGGTTCAGATCTGAATTATATATATCCCTCAATTAATCCGTTGCAACCATCATGGCTGAGGAGAAGCACCACCACCTCTTCCACCACAACAAGGATGAGGATAAGTTTGTAGAGTCTGGTTATGCTGAGGAGGTTGACTACAAGAAGGAGGAGAAGCACCACAAGCATCTTGAGCAACTTGGAGAAGTTGGTGCTGCGGCTGCTGGTGCTTATGCCTTGGTAATTAATTTCTTTGTTGAAGTGTATTTTTGCTCACGATCTTTTATCCCAATTTGAAGTATGTTTATGTATTATTTTTGTGAGATAATTTTCCCCTTTTTCAATTTACTTTAAAGCGCAAGTTTCAGAAAAATTAAATTAAATTGCAAACAGTTAACTCGCCAAGGAAAATAAAAGCCTATTTGGATGAGCTTTTTTTCTTCAAAAGTTATTTTTTTTAATAAAAAAAAGTTCTTCTCGAGAAAAGTCTGTTTGGAGGCCAGCTTTTAAAAAAGCAAAAATCATAAAAAAGTCAAAAATCTACTTTTTCCAGAAGATAAAATTTTTAACTTTTAAAAAAGTAGAAGTCAAAAGTCAAATATTTTTTTCAAAAATCAAATATTGTTTTAAAAATCTAAATAGCTGTAACTTTTATAGAAAATATTTTTAAAATAAGAAAGTGATAAAAAAGATTTTCTTAAAAAGTCAATACAAACACACCCTATATCCCACATCATAACTGAGATTAGGGGTTCATTTGGGAGGATTTTTGAAAAATAAAAAAAATTATATAATGCTTTTTGAAAAAAGGACTTTTTACCAAAACTACAGTTATTTTTCTTTTGGATGTAAAAAGTATTTTAAGTAAAATATATTATTTTATCCCATATTTTAGATTATTTTATCTTTTTTAAATCGAGAATATTAACAGGATTCTCAGTGACGTACTTTTCTAATCCTAACTTTTTATCTAAAGAAATTAAAGAATGTTAGTTTTAAAAAAAGATTTTAATGTTTTTACATTAAATCCAGATAAGTTATTTACATTTATTTTCAAAACGATATTATTTTGGATTGAAAAATTAAAAAATTAATAATAAAAATTATTATAATATAAAAATTAATTAAAATTATAAAAATATTTTAATTTTCGTCTTAAAATAATGTTATTTTGAGTTTAATGCACTGCAGAAAAATTGAACTCTTTAAAAAAAAATATCTTAATTTTTTTTAACTTATGTTTTTCCCTTGAATATTGCACCCAAACACACAATAAACAGAAAAATATTTAAAAAAAAAAGTTTCTTCAGAAAAAAATGAAGCCCATCAAAAAATGAAGTTCATATAATGATTATAATTTATTAGGTTATAATTATTAAATTCTAATAAATTATAATCATTAGATTAACTGAAATCGATGATTAAGTTTAAGTTGTAAAAAATTACAAGCGAAAAAAGATTATAAGTATAACTTTTTTAATGAATAATAGATACAAAAAGTTGTGTAGCAAGATTGTATTATTTCAGTCTATCATGTAACTATATATGTATGTATACATCTCAAACACTTGTCGTTGTGATTTGTTTTGTCTTGATTGAAAACTGCTTGATGTATAGATTTTTCACTCTTTCGTGATGCTCCAAAAGAAAATTAAATGAAATTGATTCCCTTTGCCGCAATTGTTTTATGATAGCATGAGAAGCACAAGGAAAAGAAAGACCCAGAACATGCTCACAGGCACAAGATAGAAGAGGAGGTTGCAGCGGCAGCCGCAGTCGGAGCCGGTGGTTTTGCCTTCCATGAACACCACGAGAAAAAGGAAGCTAAGAAGGAAGATGAGGAAGCTCATGGAAAGAAGCACCACCATCTGTTTGGCTAAACATGATAAATATTATCAAGCTCAGAAGTATCACCACTTGTATATTATTTATCTTCCAATTCCAGTTTACTATGTGCCATCGGCTGGGTGTTTCTAAATAACTTTTAGCGTGTTTGGAGAGTGTTTAATTCTCTATCGTTGCTTCATGTATTTGCAAATATATATATAGTGTGTGTTATATTATGTTGAATATATTTATATATTTATATATATATATATATATATATTGATAGGTGATTTGAGATTATCTTATTTATCATTTTCTGCTAGGCATTTGTGTTAAGACTCTTCGTTAATTATGTTTTTCCTTTCATCATTAAAGCTTACTGATATATATATATATATATATATATATGAGCATTTAAAATTTGACACTAAATCCTAACCGTTGATTTCTATCAATTAAACTTATAATTAATTATTAATTTTTAATAAATGATAACCGTTGATTGACGGAAATCAACGGTTAAGATTTGGTGTTAAATTTCAAATTTTGACACAAGTGTCAAGGAATCTTATCTATATATATATATATATATATATATATATATATATATATATATATATATATATATATATATATATATATATATATATATATATATATATATATATATATTTTAATCGTTGATATCCGTCCATTTAACGATTATAATTTATTAAGTTATACCAATTAATTAATTATTAATTTCAAATAAATAACAACCCTTAGTTGAACGGAAATCAATAATTGAGATGTGGAGTAAAACTTATAAGTCATACATTGGAATCATATATATATCATATATATATATATATATATATATATATATATATATAGAGAGAGAGGGGGATATTCCGTACCATTTAACGATTTGGCATAATTTATTCAAAAGTTATATATATATATATATATATATATATATATATATATATATATATATATATATAACAACCCTTAATTGACACCTCATCTAATCAAAAAAGATAATTGCTACATGTGTCATTGAGTAAAACTTATAAGTCATACATTGGAATCAAAAGATCAGTCTATATATATATATATATATATATATATATATATATATAATGTTATAGAGAGAGAGTCGTTTTTGGGTTGAAAGAATAAAAATTGAAATGATAAAGACTATTATAACCCTAAAATAAATTTAAATTACAAACACACCATGATTTTCACCTTAAAACGATGTCGTTTCAATGAATATTAGACATTATTTTCTAAAATAATATAAAAAATGGACCCATATTATATATATATATATATATATATATATATATATATATATATTTGTTTGTGTGGGGTTAAGCTGCATGTTTTGCCTAGCAGCTGTTAGTTATATTTAAAATGCGAGTAAACTTTTTTCTTTTCATTATGTAAGCATTTAAAAATAATAATAAAACGTAATGATAAAAGCTGTGATCATAAATGAAATTTAAACGCATAATAATTAAAATAAATGCCTAACTATCATACAATGCTTATCTTAAGTCACTAAGGGATTCCCAAAAACTCACTTAGCATAATTCTCACTTTTACGATTTTTACATAACTGAACATGGTTCAGTATTTTGGACACTGAGCGTGATTTAATGGTTACAAGTCTCTCATATTTTAGTATATTATTTGAGATTTAATTACCTTTCCAACAAGGTATCACAAGTCCCTTACAGTTCTCATTTTCTTCGGTTATCATCGTTTGAAGTTGGACAAGTAAAACTGCCAGCCAACCCAAAATAGGGCACCAAACATACCTTACCATTTCTGCGATTCTGAACAAACCACTTAACCAGTTGCTCTCAACATTTTATACACTAAATAAGAAACCTTAATCTTTAATTTGACATATCATGAACCTAATTTGAGTAAAAATTAAGGAGGAATAATTTTTGCATGACAGTGACCCGACAACCCCCATGTGCAGGGCCATCTGGGCAGTCTCCACTCAAATGCGTCTATAGGTTGCTACATAGTCTCAAATTGTACCAAATTTTGACATAACATAGTTGACTCTCATGCTTCAAAATGATGTATGGAAAGTCCCTATTGGACCTCTATGGAGGGAGATATACTATCCTAAAGTCATCCTAAAAAATGATATTTTAGTATAAATTTTGGCGACACCTCCATTGTTTATTCAACCTATCCAACTTTATCCAAAGTGTGTTTTTATGCCTCAAGGATACCTTAGACAAGAGTGGCACTCAAGGACCAAGAATGCCTTGGTGCTCTTATAACCCATAACAATTTACATCATTTTCCTCAATTTACAATCCATTACTTACTTTGTCAAAATTTAAATCATTTCAATCACATTATCCAATTGCATGCATTCTTAACAATTTGCATATAAATCATAACCTACAATAGGTCTATTGCCCTTTCATCACATACATACTTTACAATATTACACAAGGTTCATGATCATAATATTACAATTCTCCAAATGATTAACATAAATACAATGAAGTCCTCCAAATATAACAAGATACAATATCTACCTAGACTTGGCCAAAATGAAACATGAACAAAGATGACATGATACATAACCATAATGCACTATACAATGTTCATGCTCTAAGTCTAGCCTATGCCAAGTGTGGCCTCAAAATGCAAAAAGTCTTCTAACTCCGTAAGCTCATCCTGTGGGCCTCTTGCCCATGTCTTCAGACCCGCTACAACCACCTAAAATAATGTCCCAAACGCTGGGTGAGATATACGAATATATCTTAATAACCCAGAGGTTCTGGAGATCACTCATTCCAATGTCTCACTCATATGTAAATGTGCAATAATGAATCATAACAACCAAAACGGTATATAGCAAGGGATTTAGAGAAGTAGGGATGCATAGGGAGAAAACATATGATGAAGCTGGAATGGTCATATCCAAAACCAGGCAACATCCAGCCTTTTGGCCTCGTCATGTAACCTACGGGCTCTCATCCAAGAATGTAATCCCAGAACATCATCCAAGGCACCCTCCATCTAATACACCCAAGACATTCCTAGAGTGCTCCTCAACGGATAATAGTTCTATGGCCCCAGGCTAACTGGAGCTCCCTCACGGAGACCTATCCAGTGGAAGTCCGCAACGCCGGAAGGCAACTATCTACTGGCCAGAGACACGACACATCCTATGTACCTGTTGCAACTTCGGCAAGTGCACCAGTTGTAAAAGTAATAAAAGTGTACTGAGTACGAGATCGTTCCCACGAGGATCAGAATTTCAAGCACTAGTTCACTAATCACGTTTTAGTTGGACAATCAAGAATTGAGATGAAGAGAATTGTGTTTTTGAGGAGCAATTAAAATTAAAAACAAGTAATAGCATGCAATTAAAGAAAATTCAGAATTAAAAGAATAATTGAAAAAGATGATGATGGATTTCAGAATTTAAAAACAAGCGTAGTTAAGGTTTCGACTTCTCCTAATCTCCTCAATATGTTATGAAATAAAGAATCAAGAGCCTTTTCTTAATGTATTGCCAATCAATTCTATCTAAGTTAATTACGGCTCAATTCCTTGTTACCCTAAATCTATGTGATCTCAGAAGAACCCTAGTTCCCCGGTTATTCCCCAAGAAAACATACATTAAGATCAAGAATTACAAGATTGTATAACTACCCTATGTCTATCCTTAGATCACAAGGATTATGATAAATTTATCAAGTAAGGGTTCATGCACCAACATCCCTATTGTCATACAATTCTCCAAAATCATTCTATAAGGAACAAACTCATAGAAAGCATTAAAGACAGATAAATTTATTCAATTATAAAAAGAAAAGAATTCAGAGACAATTTAATTCATAAACATAAAGATTCAATTAGGTTCCATCTACCCTTAACTACATAAAAATCTAGCATATCATACTGAATTCAAAAGAAATAATAAAGAAAAGAGAACCCCAAGCCTCCATTGGTGTGATGTTGACTTGGTTCCTCAGTGTTCCAGTGCTCCGCAACAGGATTCCTCCTTCAATCTTCGTGTATTGGTTTCTGAATTGGTGTCTTGGTCTAACCTTGAGCTCCTTATTTATAATCTTTCAAAGCCACATCTTTCTTTGCATCTCCCACCGTATCCGTATAAGATTTGTAATTGATTTTATAATTGCTTTCTTTTGCGTTTAATATCTTGTACATTGGTGATATATTTTAGACTTTGAACCTTGTTATAATCCTTCTTCAATCTGCTCATGAATCAGGTTCGATATGTTTCTGCTTTAGTTCTGTGTCACAATCTGGAAAATCTTTATTAAATCTCAGCAAATCTTAGTGAATCTTTGTTGTTTGGAACGTCCTTGGGCGCTCAAGCGTGCTATTTGGGCGCATGAGCGTGCTAATACGCCTTAAATTATTGTTTCTGCCTGCCTGAGCGCGCTCGAGCGTGCTACTGGGCGCTCGAGCGTGCTCCTCGAGGATGAAATTATGTCTTCTTGGGCGCTTGAGCGTGCATCTGTGCGCTTGAGCGTCCTGACTTGCCTAGTTTGGTTGTTTTCCTTGTTTGCACGCGCTTGAGCGTCCTCTTGTGCGCTTGAGTGTGCTTTTCTGGACCTTGAATTGTAATATTTTGGCTTCCTTTGGTCCATATTGAGCTTTCACTTCTTCGTCATGATTTCTTTAGCACTTTTTAGTGCCAAATCTTGTGGATTTACCTTCAAAATGCAAATAACATCAAAACGACAGCTCAATTTCCTATCTTATGACTTATATATTGTAAAACCTTGAATTCCATGCATTCTATGATATATTTCTCATATAATTTAGCCTTAAAACATGGTAAACCAAAGGTTTATCAACATTCCCAGATTTGAATATTGCTGTCCTCAGCAATCAATCAGAATAAACTAAGGGATTAGGGAGTAGGAATCTCAATAGCATCGAATTTGACAGAAATAATTCATCAGAGACATGATAACATAGCATTCAGACTCTAAAGATTAATACATCAATCAATTAACTTCATAATTCATCAGAAAAGAAATTCTTAAGATCAAGAACCAAGGAGATTTCCTTTAGCACCCTCTCACTAGGATTTCAATTCACTTACGCTCAACTGTTTAGAGGGTTGGTGTTTCACTCGAATCCCACTGAATTAGACTACCATAGGCTTGCTCATATTCTAGCTCTCCACAGTAATAGTAAAGTATTCAATAGATCAAGAGGTCTTTATTCAGGTTGTAACTTGGTCTGGCTGGGAAGGAAATTTGGAGAAAGGTTTTCAAGATTAAAATCCAGATTTTGAAGAGGAATGGATGTTCTTTAGAGGTCTTTTTTTTTTTGCAAAATTTTCACAAAACAGTGGCTTAGGGTTTTTATTCATTACAACTCTAAAAACTTAATTTCAAATTCAAATTGCTCTAAAAAATTAATTAAATTCACAACTAAATTCAATTTGCATAAGAGAAAATAAGAAAAAGGTTGAGATGATTCCCTGTACTAGCCGGATGTTCTGTGTATACTCATGAAGTCTCTCCGGTCAAATAGCACTCTGGCTGACGAACTACGCGTTTACCATTCCCAGATTTAAATGTTGTTGTCCTCAGCAACTAATTTAAATCTAAAAAAAAATCGCGTGGATAGTTTAAAAACTAGTCGATTCCTCGTGAAACAGCATCATAAAAACCATCTATCAACAGCGCTGAAATACCATACTGCATCATAGGGTTATCTCAAATCATAAAAACATAAAAATCCAAAACAAAATAAAATTGAAATAAAGCATATAATGAGAATGACCAATAGTGATCAATCATCCATCTCCTCGTCCTCTGCATCTCTCACTATGGCGGGTGTCATGACTGTGTCCTCACCATCCTCGTCCTGGCCATCAGTAGCCGGAACTGTGCTGCCTCCTCGCTGCGCAGCATCAAAAGCATCCTCCTCCTCGGATCCATCATATGGCTCTGGCTGGAAGTCCATCAGGCTGAGGTGGCACAGAATGTGTGTCTGGTAACCGAGCTGCTGCCTATGCATATGCCGGTTCCTACGCCAGATGAATCTCACCTGAGTCTCAAGAGCAGTCAGTCGACTCTCTACCGATCCTGCAGCAGCTGATCCGGAAGCCTCATCTACCTGGGCTGGTGCACGTCTTACTCGCCTCCGCCTACCTGCCTGGGCTGCCTCCGCCACTAATCCATCCTCCTCTATAGGTTCCTTCAACTTATCTGAAATCCATTTGGCATTTATATGTGGCAGCAAGGTAATCTCTCTTCCACCTGTTTGGGAATCTCCACCCCTACTGCCTTACACATGAACTGTATAAGTGAGCTATGGCCTCTGATGCCTTCGCACTAGACATGAAGAACTTGATCACCATTGGTTATCCTGTTTACTCAAAAGGAGCCCTCTGCAAGGGCAGTCTGAAGGACGAGGCCAGATTCTGGTCTCTTTTTGCCAACTCCAACCTCACCCCCTCCACTCATGATGCCACTGTCAAGTGGGCATTACAGGTGCAGATATACTGCATTATGAGGAACATTTATTTTGATGCAGTATCCCTCATCCATGGCAGCCTGAAGAAGGAAATCAGGAAGACTACTGTCTGTCTTCCTTGCCTGATTACAAAGCTCTGTCTGAGAGCTGAAGTAGAGACTTATGATGATGAAGACCTAGTGCTGGGGTCTGTCTTTGATTTTAAGACCTGGAATGGTCTGAGGAGCACTTATATCGAAATAGACATGCCAATCCCTGAAGGATTTAGGCGTAATGTTGTTGATGATGAGGAAGAAGAGGGCCTTGAGGCTCCAAAGAAGACAACCACGAAGGCCACCCCTTCAAAATCAACCACTTCTTCCTACACCCAGGCAAGAAGAACCGTTCCCGCTCCCACCAAGGTAAAGAAAGAAGCCCCTGCTGCTACTGAAAGCAAGCAGGGCAAAAAGAAATCTCATGCTAAACCACCTCCAAGAGAGGGGGAACGCTCCAGTCAGAGGCTGAAGAGATCCTTCAGCAGCACAAAAAGGGCAGAAGGAGCATCTTCTGAGAAACCCATCACCCTCTCTGACAAGGAGGAAAGCAGTGAGAACAATGAGCCTATTGCCAAGAGACTGAAAAAAGGAGGAACGTTAAGACCTGCTGCTAAGGAGGCATCCCTAAGTAGCTCTGCTACTTCTGAAGCCTCTGACGTTTCGTCCCCTCCTCCATCACCTGCTCATTCTCCACCACCATCATAACCCTCTCCTAGGCAACATAAAGGAGAGAAGATTGAAGAAACAAATGCAACCCCTGCTGCAGAAGAACAGGTGGCTGAGCAAGAGGCTCAGCCACAAAAGAAACTTGACAAAGGAAAGAGGATTCTTGTTGAATCTCCTAAAAAGAAAAAGCCAACTATGCCTAAGCAAATCAGCCTGGGAGGGCCCCTCTCTTGCCCCATTATCCATCCCAATACTTCTGGGGACGAGGCCCTTGCTAGGGCTTTGGCAGAAGAGGAGGGCATGGAAGTCCCTCCACTGATGGAGGAACAAACTACTACAACTCCCTCTTCTTCCAAAACAAAAGAGGTTATGATCAGGCAGGCACCTGAAGAACCTCTAACTGCTGGCAACAACAAACAATAGAAGAAAAAGAAGCCATCTTCCCCCATTCCAGCAATCCCCATTGCATAAAAGAGAAAATCTCAAATTGGGATTGCTGAGATTTTTGAAATGATGGGGAAGAAAATGGAGAAGCTGTTACCTGAAGCACCATCCGTTCCTCAGCTGGACATGGCCCGCACTACTGAAGAGCTAAATGCTCTAAGGAACAGATTGGATAAACTCTCATCTTCCTTCATCAAATTCTAGGAGCAACAAAAGGAAGACAGGGAGCAGCTCCTCAACACCATCAAGGCCAGCATCAAAATCATCAGTGCTGCACCTTCAGCACCTACCCTTCAAGCTGTCAGGAATGAAATCAGAAAGACATCTGAGTCCCTGCAGTTTGCTCATTCCATGCACGATACCAGAGCTGAGAAACAACTTAGGAAACTCTACCTCCCAAACATTGAAGAGCGAACAGAAACCAAGGAAGCCCTCAAGGCTTTTGGTGCATATTTGGAGGGGAGAATTTATCAGCTGGAAAATCAATTGCTGGATGTAGAGGGGCAGTTGGTGCATATCCACAATGGTAGGATAATGATGAGATCCACCATTGTTCACCTCACTGCTGTGATTAGCGATCTACTGAAGGACGCAGAGAAGTGGCTCCCCGAAGCTGAAGTAAGAAGATTAAGAGACCAGCTTGGGAGAAGGCCACTTACGCAAGAGGAACTAGATGCTGAAAAGAATTCTGAGCTGGGCAAGAGACGTCCACATTGAAAAGGAGAAAGACCCTCCTATTTTTGTTTATTCCCCATTTACTGCTTTATTGTTATTTTCCTTTTGTTTTCTTTTCTGTTCCCTAGTGTAATTTTAATTCCTTTGTGAAATAGAAAAATCTTTTTTTGATTAAACTATTTGGAGCATACATTTCAGTTATACTATTGTGGCTGTGAAAATTTGAATAACCAATTACATGAAACACAAAGTCAATAAGTAATTATTCTTGTTCTTACTTTGAATGCTTGAGATAGGAAAGGTGAAGCGAATTTAATCTTCAGATTTTTGAAGGATATTGATCTGTGTGAACTATAACTGGTAAGGAACGAAAAATGCCAAACACTTACTCATGAGAGCGTTCCTGAGGTGTCATCACAATGAAACTTCTAAACTTGCCTTGATGCTGTAAGTACTGCTGAAGAACAGGTGAATTTCATTGACAAGGATCAACCTTCAAACACTCAACCCCTCACAGTCAAACAAACACTTCCATGCCCATTCATACGACAGCACAACCCCACATACTCATAGTCATCCCCAGGTCAACTAAAAGGGGCAAGGAACAAATTCAAAATGAGCAGAAAAGGACAAGAAGAAAGAAAACAAAGAAAAATGGGAACAACCATTCAAAAGAATTCAGAAGAAGATACCAGACAAGATTCCTCTAAAGGAAGAAAAGAAGGTACAAAAAGATAAGGTGTTCCCTCAAACAGAAAAGTCCAACTCTGAAAAAGAAAAACTGAAAAATGTTCCTTAAACCAAGATCTGCGACCATTCCATCCTAAAACCCCATCAATCCTTTTCACAAAGATCCTTTGAAATGAAAGACACCTACACTTCTTAGGAAAACAGCAGATAAGCAAGTTTGAAGAATCACATCCAAGAATGGACAGAGAAACACCAAGCCCTTAGTGATAGTGAGACAGAAGATCAGCACCCTTCACTTACTTGGGAACAAAATCTTTCTACTTGTCACCTATGGAAAGTAGTTCAGTCTTTGAAAAGATTATGATTACTTACTGGCTCAGGTTTCTGAAGTTGAGCTATTCTTTGAAATTGAGCATCCTAAGCCACTATTTCTAAGTTGTTTGAGGACAACCAACAGTTTAGTTTTGGGGTGTTTGATGGGATGAAAATTCATTCCCATCTAAGTCTATTTTGATGGCAAAATACCATATGTTCCCTCCACTGATGAGCAACTTTAGCATTAAAAGCACGTGTTTAATATTTTTTGACAAAAACACAGTGGGGAACAGAAGTTGACGTAAGCCCTTGGAAAATATATAAAAGGGGAACGAATTGAGAACATTAAATACACTTGCTTCACTCACTCAATCTCTCTGAAACTTTGCAGGAAACGTTGAAAAGAAGTTTCCATAAAGCATAAGCGGTGCAACAATCAAGCAAGAGGAAACGTGCGCAGCAGAGAATAAACGATTCCTATTGGCTAAAGAGGAAAGCAAGGCATGGGGATGATCAGAAGGAAAGAAAAATCTCAACAATAATTGTCCCATCCGGCCACTTGCGCCCCTCAAAGTATTGTTCACACCGCCCCTTTCATGCAGTCAAGAAAACAACTCCAAGAGAATTACGCACTTTGTCATTCACTCTTCTGCCTATAAATAGGACGTTCCAATACGAGAACATCATTGAATTCCTTAAGAAGAGATCACTTAGTTTATTTTTGTAGTTTTTCTTTTGTATAGTTTTAGATGTAGTTAAGCAACAATATTTCTTCTCTATTTTGTATCACCCACTTGAGACTCATCACGAGCAACAACCATATTCTCCAATTTCTATTTTATTGTAACCTAATTTGTTTCCATTTAAATATAGAGTAAACACCATTTTTGGTCCCTAACAAAAAACACGGTCCCCACTTTAGTCCCTTACAAAAATAAATTAGTCAGTAAGTCTCTAACAAATTCAAAGTGGACCCATTTTAGTCCTTTTGAGGGACTAATATGGGTCTTTTTTGAATTTGTGAGGGACCACGATTTCAACTAAATGTGTCCACTTTGCATTTGTTAGGGACTAACTGACTAGTTTATTTTTGTAAGGGACTAAAATGGGGACCATGTTTTTTGTTAGGGACCAAAAAGGGTATTTACTCTTAAATATAAGTGTTATTTCTCTCCTTTCCACTCGTTATCTCAGAACTGAATCTCGGGTCTATGGGATTTCAGTTTAGAATGTTTAAAGTAGTAGCCATGGGCTAAACTATTTGTGGAATGGAAAAGCTGCAAAGTTCTTAAAGAATTATTTTCAAAACTCTTGTACTGAGCTTTTGTATTTCTCTGGTTAAGTAAGCTATATTCATTGTGTATCAATGGAAATTTAACACATACTGAGAAAGGAACTTCCATAAGGAAGGGATTTCAGACAGCTTAACCAGAGGGGGAAGGCAGTGTTGTGGAAACAAGAAACAACACTGTTGATTGCCTTAGGAATAAAGGACCACTTCTTTCATTTCAAGGTTCTGTACTAAGTACCTGCTGGAGTCAAGGGAGCCATAGCAATATGAAAACTTGTGAGCCATCTAGTCCATAAGCTGAGGAATCAGACGTTGGCAGTGAAGAGACTGGAACAAATACAGAAGTGTTAAGTCTTGAGCAGAGAAAATAACTATTTAAGAATGGAACAGTGAATCTGTTCCTTCTGTTAAAACTGTTTTAAATCATCCACACTGTTGTCTCTTAATTACTGTTATTACTGTTTGTATTTTTCTCTTTATTTAATCTTGTATCTATAAATTGTTCCCTCTCTCAACAAGAAGGGTATCATACATAACGAAGCGATGAACTGTTTGCTGTCAGATTGAACCTACTGTTCTTGAGGAACATTGTCAAGACAGTAGGGAACGTTTGACCAAACAGGTCAATTACTAACTTTTCTTTTCATTTTCATTCTTTTTTAAGACAGTCTAAGGCATTAATTAGAGTTCTATCCTCGTGGGAACGATAATCTGGGCACTAATAGTCCCTTTATTACTTGATGTGTGCACTTGCGCACTTGGGTTGAAAGTAAGAGAACACAAGTGTTTTCTCTTACTGAACTAGAACGTTCTTCATCATAATATATTTTACACCCAACAAGCTTTTGACCCTACACATGTTATAACTACATTCTTGACATACAACCTCCAACTACTACCACCAAGGGGCATGGTGAAGCACACACGGAGATTAACCCCAGTACCAAGGGATTACCTTATTGAAGTTCCCAGACTAGCTAGCTCCAATGCCAGATACACATGAACTTGGTCCAACCAGAAATGCCTACACAACAGGTCATTCCCATATCCATTAGAACCACATAAATCCATACACTTGTTTATTCAAGCATTCATGCAATTTGACATAAATACTTACTACAATCCTTTTGGTCAAGGACCAAAGGCAATCCACCAAGCTCACTGCTCAAAGATCACGTTCGGGGCAGACAACCTACAATGATCACACAAGTATCATCAATTCAATTGTAAATGAAGTTGAATTATGTTGCGTAAAATTGGCAAGTGCACCGATCGTACCAAGTAATAAAAGATGAGTAAGAATATCGTCCCACGAGGATTGAGGCACCGAATTTATTTTAACTATTCCTTTCTTATTGGATGAATAAAAGTTGATTTGAGAATATTTGTGATTTGTAAAAATTGAGAATTATTCAAAACTTGTGAACAATTCAAAGATGGTTTTGAAAACTAGAGAATAAAAGATTAAGATTGAGAAAAATGTTTAAAAAGCTATTGCGGTAAAGGACGTCAACACCTTTCCGATCCCCACCTTGCAATATTAATTAATGTTTACATTTAATTACTCATTGATCAAACAATTCACCATCTATTAATTGGTTGGTTAAGCCCTAATTCCTTAGTGTTCTTAACCTTATTAACCCTATTAGAATCCTAATCCCTTAGAAATCCTTTTTCAAGTTAATCCTTTAACCCAATGAATTTTCCACGTTTGCAGTTCATGTAGCCTATCATAGTGCATACATGAACTGTTATTTTACCATTGTCATGAACTAGAATCCCAATATTCCTATTGAAAACCCTAATCCTCGCAATCCTGATAGAGTGATCAATTCTAAAAGAATTAAAAGATGAAGAACAGGATAAAATAAATGCAATTTAAAATAATTAAATATAAATTTAACCAAACTACAAGGGGTTCACATCAAGGGTTGTGACCCTTACCACAATAATAAAAACTAGCCAGACATATTCATGTCTGACAATTCAAAGTATTGAAAAGAATTCATAAATAAATAAAAACCATAAAATTGGAGAAGAAGCTTGCTCTGCGTTCTGCCTCCATCAATCTCTCTCTGTGTAAAAGTTTCGTTCTCTTGAGGTCTGAGTCTCTATTTATAGAGTCTTGAACCTTGTTTAGAATCTTGATCTAACCTTTTCGCAATCTCAGTGCAATCTTGTCTCTGATTTAAAAAGGATTTAATGCTGATTGTCTGCACCTCCCACGCTACTAGCGTGGTTCCCACGCTGTGAGCGTGGGAGTTTTTGTGAAGAATCCTGGAGCTCTACGCAACTAGCGTGGTTGCCACACTTCAAGCGTGGGTTTGTGAAAAGGCTAGCGCTACTAGTGTCAGTGCCATGCTAGTAGCGTGGTAGCTTCTGCCTGAATTTGATTTCTGGCGCTAGTAGCGTGAGTCCCATGCTAGTAGCGTGGATGCCTCTGTTTGAAATTGTCTTCTCACGCTTACAACGTCATACCCACGCTCTCAGCGTGGGCCTTCAGTTTAACAATTTCCTTTTTAGCTCCAGTTTGTCTGTTTTTCCTACAAAATCAACACAAAATCAATATGCAATCTCTGATTGAGATTTTAACAGATTATCAGTAATATTTGCCCTTTTTTCTTAAGATTAATCAACATTCTTTCTCTTTTTGGCTTAGATTTCCCTATATGCTGAATGCATATCAAATTACAAAGCAACACCCCCACACAACCACACATAGGTTC